TGCAGCCAAACTAAAGGCTCCTTAAATTACTTTTTACTTAGTATACAGCAATTCAACCAGGTAAATGTGTGGCCTTTGAAAGGTTTAACTAAGAACTTTTCCAAAGGTTGCCTCTAAAATTGCAATTGTTCATGTGACAGAAGATCTTCTACACAGTGATGGTCATCCAGTCCAAGGTAGATTGAAACAGTTCGTAGAGGAAGTTACATCAAACAGAAAACTAATTGCAACTTGCCGAAATGCAAGAGATATTGGTCATACACCAACAGCCAACCTTACAAGATATCCCCATTTTCTTTTCCCATTGCAAGGAATATCTTGGCCTGAGAAATCTCTACTGCCTTCTCTTATGTCTTTAGAGAGAGAGAGAGAGAGAGAGAGAGAGAGAGAGAGAGAGAAACTAAAAAACAGAACAAAACCTCAAAGAACTGTGATTAAATTGAGGTTGGATGGTGTGAAGAAGAATGCAAATGTAACCCTGTGGGATGCCTGAAAATGTCATAGAACTGTGGTCAAGAGACACATCTGCCTGTAGAAAACCATCCTCTGTATTTCCAGAAAATCAGATCAGACTAATTAGTGGCATGGAAGGAGCCAGGGCTGAGAAAAAGAGAGACATTTGCATTTTCTTTTTAAAAACCCTGAATACTGGAGGAAAATATGTAAAGTATGTCTCACTTTTGTGGAGATCCTTTATTTTGCTGTCATTTGTCATTTTTGTTTTGTTTTCTTTTATTACTGCGAGGGTTGCCACAAGTTGGAAATGGCCTGGTCCTCTCTGGATCTCTGACAGGATCTGGAAAGAGGTGCCAGATTCCTTCTACCACTTCCTCCTCTATCCTGTGTGAAAAATATGTTTCAGAATGTGTGGCTTCTTATATTACATTTCTGGGCTGTTTAGTGTGAAGTCTGTGACATTAATGCAGTGTCACAACTTGCACAGAACATTATTCTGTTCTGATTCAGAAGACAGCTCCCTCTTGTTTGGCAACAACATGCCTGAGTTTGGTTGGAGATGCTGAAATTGAACCTTGGATCTTTTTTCATGCGAAGCAGGCCCCTTACTATCTGTGGCCTTCATTGGTAGCAAGATGTGGTACATGAGTGAAATTCATATCTGTTACCCAGCAAAGACTTGGTCACCCTTAGACTCTACAAACTGCACAACAGTCTTTTCAAGTGTCTCCATTCCATGTTGATGAAAGGTTATTCTAAAGATGCTTCTTCCAGCATCTATCAGCTGCTGGTGGGAAGTCCACCCACCAAGTCAGCCATGACTGAAATGGCCTTCACTGGTTCCATACAGAAAAGACCATGTAGGAGGTCTTTTTGTCTCCTATGCATACTTTGGGATGGGACATAGATACACATATTTACTAGGACATGGGCTGTGCACACTTTACAAATGATTCCATAGAAGAGCTTTGGAGCATGTGTGAACACAGCATCTCTCTAGCCGTTAAACAACTTTTTTTTCTGGCTTCCATATCAGCCTGAAAAAAAGATGCTGCTTTAAAGAGTGAATTCCTTAAACTTAAACCAGCTCTTTTTTTTTTTCCCCTAGACTTGCAGAATACTGGAAAAAAGTTCGGCTGTTTTAATGAATAGTAGGGATATGCTAGGTTCACACTCAGGCAAGAGATGGTGTCATTTTTCTGAATCATTATCAAAACCTGTGTAGCCCTAATGCTTAGCACCTCACTCATCTCTACAGGGCATGGGATTCTGGATTAGCAAATGGACTGGTCTAATCCAGTAAGGCTGTTCTATTCTATACTCTCCATGGTGGCCTGATCCAACCATAAAACCTTCCTGTTAAACCTCATTGAAGCCATGGCCACCAAGTCGCTGTTTGAAGTCAAGGAGACTTAAGAAGGGCTGCCCTCATATTCTCTCTCTTTCCCTTATTTCCCATGTGACTCTTCTCCAGCCTTGATAGGTGAGGGTTTAAAGAGGCATGTCAGTAATAAAGTAGTAAGAGATGGAACTGTCTGGCTTTTTTATGTGACCAAGAGAAAACGAAAATACAAACATTCTGCAACTTGGTCTTCACTGAAAGACCCTGAATTCCGAGTTACTGGACAAGAGTATGGAAAGTTTTAAGTTTTCCTGGCAGTTTAACATGAAGGGGCCAAAGAGTTGTTGGGGGGGCAAGCAGCACAGTTGAGCTTTAGCTTCAGGTGGATTTTTGTGAATGATTTTGAGGCTATTTAATACCTCACAGCAAAGGAAAGCTAGAATCACCAACAATGATGTTGGGAGGTCAACGGAAAAGGGCTTTGCTATTACACTCCACGTTCTGAAAACTTTTTTATACTTAGCTTCCTCTCTGCATTTTTTTCTTCTTGGTACTGTAAGATTTCCATCCCCTCATGCCTTGACAACTTAGGTTACATTAAGTGAAAGTATTGTGAGCTTTGATTTCCATCTTATTTTTAAGGTCACCAGAAGTATGTCCACCTTTTCAAAGGATGATATTGCTATTTTTCTCTCAATATTTTTAAGTCTACCTTCTTCAACCTGGTCATCTCCAAATGTGTTGGACTGCAGTTCTCACAATTCCTAGCAAGCATGGATTTGAGTACAATACTTTTAAGGAGAAGGCTAAACTTCAGCTTGACTATTTGGGAATCAGTCTTCTAATGGATCACTTCTTCCATTTCTTCCAGATGTAGTACAGCACCTTATCTTCATACCAGAGCTACCCAGATGCTGAGCAAGAGGTCTTTGAAAGATCTCTGTGGATGTGCCCAAACCATTCAAATCACAACTTCAGGCTCCCCGAAGCATCTTCTAGCAGCAGCTAACTTTCAAGGCCCAGGCAAATTAAGAGACAGAAAGCTCTTTATACAAAGTCTGCATTTCACATTTGGTAATGAGTTGATGGTTGCCCATCTCAAACCCTTGACATTCAGCAACTTATCAACGCATAACGTGAACAGTACAATGCGATATCCTCTTAACTGAAAGACATCTCCATGACACTTCATGGAACTTACTTCTGAATAGCTGTGATAAGGACTGTACTGCTAAGTAATACATTATTGGTTCAATTTCTATTGTAAGATAATAGATGTAATGTACAGGTAGTCCGCAGTTTAAAAACAAGTTCTGTCCCCAAGTTCTGTTCTTAAGTTGAATTTGTATGTAAGCCGGAACAGTATTATTGTGTAACACTCTATAAGTAATATTGTGTAATGAACTCAAACCATTGTGTATTTAACTTGAATTTTGCTACAACAGGCTCTGATCTTAACTATAGGTCGTCTGTAAACTGGGTGTTCTTAACCTGAGGACTACCTGTAGTACCGAAATCTGTTCTCTGTTTTCCCTGTGTTTGTCTTCTTTTGAGAAGGGGCTTCTGCTCTTCTCATTCTTAACATGCTTTTAAACTTCTTTTAACTTTCTTATCATTCTTTTTAGCATATATTATCACTGCAAAAAGAGGGTGATTGCTAGTTTTTGTTCCCTCTCTAACGGTCCTCTTGGCTGCCCTACATCCGATCTGAAAAAGTTTCACTGCAAGAGTTCCATCTTAAAGTTTTTAATCCCAAGAGGAAACATTAGGGTGGGGCTTCTCTGGTGAAACTTTTCCAGGTATGAAAAAAAAAGTTATCACTGAAGAGACAATCGTAGAATGAGACAGGCAATTTGTTTGCACAAATGAACTGCTCACCATGGAGAATTTCACCGTTACTTTCTTCTCAATTTTTTTCCTGTTTCCTTTTTTTCCTTTTTCCTTTTCTTTTAAATTGAATGAGAATGTTAAAAGAAAGGGCGGATAAAATTTTTTCACATACTACTTGAGAAAATATTCTAGTGCTCCCAAAGATAGGCTTAAGACCAATACTGATGTCAGGAATCATGAATGTAGTTGGTGCAATGCTTTAAGTCTGATAGAACTTAAATCTCTACTAGAAAGAGACCCAAAAAAAAAATGCTTGCAACCAGAGTTTTTTTTTCCCCCTGGGTTAGCATGATCATAATTCCACTTGGATGAAAAATGTCTCCTCTGTGCTTGAAAAGAAATAAACAGGCTGCTTTCTTTAGATCATTCATAGTGCAGACTCTTTTGATCCCTACAGACTTGGCCTCCACAAACAAGATTCATTGAAGTTGTTGTGTGTACTGCTGGGAAAATATAAATCTTACAGGACAACTGGCATAGTGCAAATGTATCTGCAGTGCAGTTAAGTTGTTCCACTAGACGGAACGCCAGAATGAAAGTTTCCAAATTCTCATCCAGTTAATAAAACGCAAACATCATATAGCAAACTTTTTTTAAAAAAACTGTACTACTGCAGTTTGTGGCTTTGCAAATGTAAACGTTCACTCCAAGCACATTCTCACGTGAAAAAAATGGACCTGCAACCTAGCCTTTGATTAATAGGCTAATTTGCTCCTCAAGCTGACAGTGATATAATTCACAATGGGTTCCGTTTGGTATAAATGAGTCTTGTGCATACTAATGGGTGGAGAAATTGGAAGCACAATTTCTCTGAGTATCTCTAAAGGGCACTTTGTGGGATGGTGGGCATATGGGGAATTTTAAGAATATCCTTTGCGTGCTCTTTGAATGCAAGAGCGTTCTGTACTTCTCCCCTACAAGAAGCTCTGTGCCACCCCACGTATCTTTGTCCTTTTTCTTGGCCAGTGACCATCCATCCAACAAAGCACTGGTGGAAAGCTGTCTATTTTTATTTTCTAAAAAAGTCTGGGTTCTACAGACATTCTTGGGAAACCAACATGAAGTGGGAGGAGGATGCTTTGCAGTGTGCCAACTTCCTATCTGTTGCAATCAAAATGTTTTTTTTTTCCCCCAAACATAAAATGTCAAATGGGCAGGAAGCCAGGCAAACCTCCAAAGGGGCATTTGAGGACCCGTCAGGACTCTCTGGCACCGTGCCGAGAGCTGCAGGCGAAAGCGAACACTTTTGATTTGAAGAGATACTGTTTTGAGAATTGGAAGGCACCAAGCTGATTTACCAATGTTTTCCCAGTTTTATTCAGTAACCTGCATACAGTTCAATGCATCAGAATTCATTGTTTGATCCACTAGGCTGTGCCCTGTTTATATTTTACATTTTGCTTGCTTTGCAAGGCAGCCATTGTATCTGGCATACTACTGCTAATAATAACCTATTACAGAGACACCACTATAACACAACAAAGCGAGTTCTTCTCTCAGATGTGCAGAATATTCTGATTTCACCATTTCAATCTAAAATAGACAGAAACTGTCAGCTCTATTTGCTGTAGGCTTCCTTATCTTCCAGCAACTTAACTGCAGTGGTCTTAGAAATGGGTGTCATCGCCAATTCTTTCGTGGGCCTACTTGGGACAGGTTGTTCTCTTCTGCCTGAAAACAAACAGACAAACAAAAAGTTGCATCATCATCATCAAAGAAAAACACATGCAGATAAACCAACAGGCTTCTATTATTATTGTTGGTCACACAGTCAGCCAGATGTTTAGGCTGGATTCGGCATTTTTATCCACCTATTGAGACCTTCCCAAGGACCTCGGATAGGCAGATGTTTCTGATGGTGCTAAAAGTATCATGACAGGATGTGAGCTGTTCCAAATAAAGCTTCTGCAATTTTCTTCTTCTTCTTCTTCTTCTTCTTCTTCTTCTTCTTCTTCTTCTTCTTC